GGTAGGGTCAGAATTTGGCATAAACAACATGAAAGCATGAAATCCATCCTGCCTTGTATCAACGGTTCAGGCTGGTGGTGGTGTAATGGTGTGGGGGAGATTTTCTTGGCACTATAAAGGTGTACCTAATAAGTGGCCAGTGACTGTAAGTCATACATCCCAGGAGTCTTCAGGAGGGGAGGAGGAGTTTTTCTCAGCTAATAACACCCTCCTGCATGTATGCCTGAGCTAGTGGGCGGATAGATTCCAAGAAGTGAATGCTACGTGAATCATTTGCCTGTACCCAAGATGGTTATGGGAAGAAATGCTAGAGGGTGTTTTCTCAGCAAAATAAAGCATAGAGACTTGGGGGTCGAGTTCAGAATCTGGTGCAGCTCTGCATAGAAACCAATCAGCTTCCAGGTTTTTTTTTGTCAACGTTTAACTGAACAAGCTGAATTTAGAAGCTGTATGGCTACCATGCACAACAGCACCAGATTTTGCAGTCTCCAGTTTAAATAAATCAACCCCGTGGATGGATGGTGAGTTTGCTTTGAATGTTGAAAATGAATATTGTTTTTTTTTTTGTGGTGCTCAGATGCAGTATAGTTCTGCTTTAATCATACATTATGGGACAGAGGAAGTATTTAGGTAGACAGACTTATACTGCTGCATTTAAGAGACTGGACGCTGAAAAATGAGTATGCACAGCCCAGCATAACCTCTCTCACTCCTAGCATGCCTCTGTTTTTCCTAGAAGAATAGATGTTTTCTCTCCTCTGAGAGAAGCAAATCTCATTTTATCCTTGGAGGGTGTACCCAGACCCTGCTGTGAAAGAAGAAACTGGCCTATAATGTGTCCTCTAAGCACTGGACTCTGTGTTAGGCACCTTTGGTATAATGTGCTGAGTTAGTCACAAAGTGCTTTACAGGATTAGGGCCATAGTGCACCATCTAGAAGAACCTTGTCCAAAAAAAAATCTTTAGTGTGCTGGTCTGGGTCCCTTAATGGGTTAATTTTCGGAGGTCTGACCATAGTCTGGCGGTTGGAGAAGGTGCCACAGTGCTTATCTATTTAATTTGGTGCCATTGGATGGGTTCACTACTTGTGTACCTCTAGTGAGTATGTACAGCCTCCTTCTGCCTATCTGTACTGTGCATGTTTGACGACGCATGTGGACCGGCTCACAAGGTCCCACCATCTGCTCAGCTAGTCCAGCACCCTAACCCCCTGGCATGTGATCAGGCTCCTTACTGCATTAGGTGACTAGCCACAGACAACAACAACCACTCCTGCTCTGGCAGTGTCTTGTGAGTTCCCCTTGTGGGAATCCCTCACAAGTAGACCTACTGTGGCAGACTGTATGCCCAAGAGGAGCAGACCTGTGAACCTTTCTAGATTACTATCAGCTGACAGCTCCCATGATTAAAAGGGAAGGGGGTTTGCAGTGAGCTTCCAATCGGCCCTGACACTGAAAGCCCAGACCACTGTCTCCTGCCTAATTCGCTGCCTCCCTCAAAGATCTCTTTGGCCCCCTCCTTCTTAACATGAGAGGCATTTTCTGCACTATCGGAAAAAATGTTAGCCTTGTTGGTTGTCTCAGAACACAGGAGCTACAAGAGGGCTCATATACCCTCTCCTCCAGAGTCCTTCTCTGGTTATGCTCTATCCGCAGCTACTTCTGCACCAGCTCTGGGTCACCAGCCTGGGTTCTCTGAAAAGTTCCATCCTGTTAAAATGTTCACCCTTCCAAATCCTTGTGCTCACTTACATGCCTTGCCCTGCAGCTTGCTGTTGCAACCATGTCTTCCTGCCAGACCTTAGCTCTTTGGTTCCTGGATATGCCTGCTGTAATGTGTTCATAGGTTAGTGGATATTATTCACCAAATAGCCAGATTGGGACACCTTTCAGTGCATTCTGAAGAACCATTTGGCTCAAATGTTGGTCTGTGGAGCTTCATTGCAAGAAAGAACTCTTGCATATGCCTTTTACATGGTAACCCCCTGTTTGGTGAATCCCTGTGCAATTTTTATCATGGAGGTCACTGTGGAGAAAATCTGCATCTGGGAGGCTATGAAAAGTCCTAAAAACCCAAGTCCTCTAAATCTGCAGGCAACTCCTTCTTGCAATAGGAGCATGCGCCCACTACAACAACATTTCAGACCTTCAGAACCAGACAGTTATAACCAGAGGCTACAAACTGGTATTTTGGTCTCACCCTCCACCCCTCTTCATATTGTCAAGCCTGCTAACATCCCCACAAAGACTGGCGTACCTTCACACTGCTCTGGCACAGCTCATCTCTCAAAGTGTTATAGCCATTGTCGAAAAAAAGGAGAGGTTTCAAGGTTTTTCTTTGCATTATTTACCGCCACTAAAGCAAAAGGGGGCATCCACTCTATACTGGATCTTAAGGTTTTTAACAACTTTATCTGGGTACAAAATTTTTACATAGACTCCATTAGATGGATCAATGCTCCCCTTTACTTGGGAGACCTTCTGGCCTGTGTGGACATCAAGGAAATCTACTTGCATGTCTCCTTCTTCCCAGAGCATCAATGCTACCTGTGTTTTTCTGTGGACATGCAACATTACTAATTTGTTGCTTTTTCCTTTGGCCTGTCCACCACACCTCTAATCTTTAAAAAAGGTGCTAGCCCCTGTTCTTGCTCTGCTTCACTTTCTGGGCATCCTCATAGTGGGATATCTGGATGACCTTCATGTGAGATAACAGTTGACTCAATTGGTGTCAGCTAACATCGAACAGATTTTGCAGCCCCTTCAGAGATTTGTATGGATCCTAAATCTCCAGAAGTCAACTCTAGACACATCTCATCTTAGATATGACCCTACGTAAAGATTATATAAAAGTAACTTTTTTAACTAAAATAAAAAAGAGGTTTATACTTACCTGCTCTGTGCAGTGGTATTCCACAGAGTGGTCCCTTACCTCCTCTTCTGGGGTCCCCTGCCAGCACTCTCCGCTCCTCCTTTTCTCAGAGTGCCTCCATAACAAACCCTGTGCTAAGGGGGCATTCGTGCAGGCGTACTCCAGAGGCAGGCTGTGTGCATCCTTAGATACACACAGCGTGGCTCGGCCACGGGTCCCTCCTTACAGGACTTAACTGACAGCAGCAGGAGCCAATGACTCCACTGCTCTCAGTGAAGCCTGTGAATCCAGAAAGGGAGGAAAGTGGGGCTGCCGGTGGGGCAGCACTGGTTCGAGAAAGGTGTCAGTTAAATGTTTAAGGGTGGGGAAGAAGAGCTATGGGAACATTCTTTTACCTTTATGCAGGGTATGCATTAAGGTAAGAAAATTTCCTTTATAACCACTTTAAGGTTTACCTTCCCCTGGACATATTGCAGACTGGCCACTCCCAAGTTCAGACGCCATAGTACGGGAGACAACCAACCCTCTGCTCATTCATTCATGTGGCCTTCATACTGAAAAGTTTGGAGACCCCTGCACTATGGCATGACTGTCTCACTGCACATCTCCCTTAATAATACAATCCATAACATGAAGCTGGCCATAGATGTGTAGTTTATGAGAAAAAAAACAAACAGATTCCTCCATCCACACAAACAAGGTGGATTGAGGAAAACCCCTTCTTCTCCCTCACTGGGCCATTGTGTTCTGACAACGGGACCCGTCACACACCTGAAATTCTGCCATTCTCTTCTGAATATATGTATGAAATGCCTACTAACCTACTGCTTTTTTTTTGGCATACGGCAATTTCAAAAGTTGTAAATAGGCACCAAAGCTGTGATGACGTGACATCTTATTTAAAACTTGATTGTATTTTGCTGACAGTGTTCCTGTGGTCACATTGACAGCCATGGATTTGCTGAAAAATTTGTGGCTCCTCTCTTTAGAGTGCATTCTTCATGTGGTTTCGAGGATCTTGAACTCAAGAGGAACCAGGAAGCTCATCCAACAACGACTCAACCTTTGCTGTGTGTGGTTAATACAATAGACAAAAACTGCATCAAAGGTCAATGGAATGAAATTGTTTTCATGATTAGGAGTCATTTTGCAGTGATTGGAGTAAAGAATATGCAAAGAATAAATTGCGACTCATTAGGTCTGTGAGCCCAGCAACATGCGTGCCAAGTTTTATTGTCTCCAATAAAAATACTTTCAATTGTTTGGTAAAATGCCTTTGGCACAGACATAGCAACTGTCGCGTGGATGTGTCCTAGTGGTGATCTCATAGCCAGCTGTGTACACTGTGAAGATAACAACCTATCAGTCAGTCTGGGCTTTGTTGACAGGCAGAGCATCCATCTTTTACCAGCCCCCATGTGATGTTTATTTACAACAGCCTGGTTTTTGTACAGAAGGCTGCAATGTCCTTGCTGAAGTAAAATACATTTCTTGTCTGACAAATGACTCATTGCTGTGCTTGCTGTTCTATATAATAATTATAAATTACATTTCATAAGAGGGTCTAGATTTAACTTTGTAGATGATTTTGTTCTATAAATTGTTCTCTTTATGATAGCTACAAGCTACCATTTATAATATGCATTATATATGCATGTGCAATCAGAACTGTACATGTTATAGTTCATGGCATTCACATTGAGAGGTATAGTTATAAAGCAGTGAATCTGCCATTGACCAAACCTTTACTACAGATGGTTCTTCCAGGTGCGTGTGCATTAACTGACAGTGAATGGTTTGTCGCCAGTGAAATTTTGGTGGGAATCACAATCACTGCTTTGTAAAGATTCGTGTTTCTGTGCGCGTTCCCGGAATGCAGGAAAAAGTGCACTTCGTGCTTGTGGTGCCATAAATTGTTAATGGAATCCCAAACATGACTAGGAAACATGCAAGAAGTGAATAATGCGTGCAATTCAAGAAGCTCACTGCTCAAAAAGTTGTGGGAGCTTCTTTCGGTGCTTTTGTCAAACATAGAACTTAAATGGGCAGCCCTATGCTGCTACTTGAAAAAATTGGCCTTAGAGTAGAAGAATTGCTATTAGAAGGGACAACATCTAAAACAGTGTGATGCGTAGCCTCCCTGGCGGTATTCCTGAGTGTAGCTCAGGATAAAGTTTCAGTACCGCAAGCGTTAACCCCGAGCTACACTCGGGCTTACCATGCGGTGCTGCTCTCCGGATCTGTTCTTCTCTTACCTTGTCCTGTGCTCCCGCCATGTCTCTCCTGCAGTGTTCCCTGTAATGTCCTCCATCTGTCATCTGGGTTCCTTCTCCTGTGAGCGTCGGGACGTATGGGGACAGAATGGTGGGAAATTTGAAAATGACAAAAAGTGACATTCACTAAATTCACTAACATAACATAGTAAAACATTACTGTATCAAACCATTTCACATACATTTTGTCCCTACTGCTTTGTCCTGTGCCCTGCCTGATTTTTACTGTTCTTTCTGCCTGGAAACTGAGAAATGTCCATGGCGTCCAAAAAACGTCCATTTAGGTCAAAAGCGGTTTTAGACCAGCTAGAGAACAGTGATAGTGCACAGGTGGCAACCTATCACGGTACCACGCTTGAATTCACTGAGCTACTGAGAGCGAGCCATTCTTTCACAAATGTTTGTAGAAGCAGTCTGCATGCCTAGGTGCTTGATTTTTTACACCTGTGGCCATGGAGGTGACTGGAACACCTGAATCCAAAGATATGGAGGAGTGTCCCAAGACTTTTGGCAATTTAGTGTATACCTGAGCTTGAACTTGATCCAGCAATGTGCACAAGAGCAGCAGCTCTCCCAGGTCTGGCTCCTGCTGCTGTCAATCACAGCCAGTGAGGATGGGGGGGCAGGGCTGAACCACATTGTGTGCGTGTCTTATGGACACACTGAGTGGGGCTCAGGAACGAGCATGCAAGCAGCTTGCAATGGGGGGGGATTATCCAGGAGTTCCAGCTGGGGCCTCGAGACGAAGAGGATCGGGGCTACTCTGTGCAAAATAATTGCACAGAGTAGATAAGCATGATGTTTTTGTTATTTCTTTTTTTAATTGTACCTTTACAATCAGTTTACTTTTCCAAGTCTTGTTTAGGTATTCATAGTAAATTCTGAAGTTCAGGCAGATACAAAAGACACATACCTGCAGTTTTGTTTTTGTTATAAGCATTGTACACTTTCAGAAGTTTTTGCCGTTTTAACTAGATATTAGTGTAATTGTGTTCCCTGTTGTCGTCTGTCTTACCTCGTAAAGATGGGCTCACATGCATGTAGTATGTAGTGTCAAGGCTGATTGATCCCCCTATCTCCATGGTTTGCTAGAGCTAACCTGGTCTGTTCACCAAGGGACAAGCAACTTCTTGTTCCTGGTCACATAGCATCCAGTGCATGCCTTGCCATTTCCTCCGATCACAAATATGGGAGCACTAATGTGATGAAGCAGTGAGCTCTCTGTTAATTGCTCTGCCCTTGTTAGGTAAAATTACTAGCTTTCACCTGCAGAGCACTAGACTGAGAGACCCAGGGATTGTGGGATATGTAGTTTCTTCACAGGAAGTGGCAGTTATTAGACTACAGACAGAGGTCATGCACTAATCTGTGCAGTGCCATGCTACATGCCTCATGTTTGAACACAAACCGAGATGTCTTATACCAGTAGCTACTTATCTGAAACAAAGATTCTTGTTGAATTGAGTTAAGGTTTTACCTAAAATTATGCAATTGCTTCTATATATTTGAGAAGGCAAATAAAAGTATGTAAACACATGTATTTTCTATAACTGCTTCTGAATTACTCACATGGTTTGATTCTGAAACTAGAATACACATTTTGTCTTTCATCGTGCAATTTAGTTTCCCATATTGTGTTTTTCAGATACATCAGAAGAGGTTTTACAGTGTTTACAATGCATTTTGTAGAGTTCTGTAATCACATGCACTCATCACACAGTATTAGGTCCAAACTCATCTAAAAAAAGCACACTACAGTGCACTGAAAAATGTTATCAGAGTTTTCTTATGTGTGTACATAACACATCATTTAATGCATTTTGCAGTGTACATCAACACAGATATGATGTGCATGTACTACTGTTACAATCTCTTAGTACTTCATTTTCACCAAGTGTGTGGACATATGTTTTGCTACATTTTCCAGTTCAGGCAATGGACTGGGAAGAAATTCCTACAAGCTGATGTTTTCTTATCTTGATCTGTATTTTCCTGCATTTTTAAGTCAGTTGAATTGGATTCTTCACAGTTTATGCAAAATACACACAAATGTGTATGTAAATTTAAAAAAGTAAGTTTCTGGTGGAGGGTAGGCCAGAGCTGCAGAAACAGAATTGAAGATGCTTTGAAGCTCCCTTATCTAGCTTATAGTTACCTTGCCTGCCATACATGAAAAAAACTGCATCCTATGTATAATGCTGGAATCTGCTGTCTCCAGACCTAGGGTCAGTGAACCATTCCAGTCCATCCCATAATCTCTGCAGTCTTAGCCACTGAAGGACGTTTACCATGCATGGTGACATACCATAAGGTGGGCCTTAAGGGCTTGATTATTTTTAAGTGGAACTGTTGAATAACAGGCAAGCATTAACCTCCCTGGAGGTATTCCCGAGTGTAGCTCGCGGTAAAGTTTCATCACCACAAGCGGTAACCCCGAGCTACACTCGGGAATACCTTGCAGCGTTGCTTCGGGATCTCTTCTGCACTTACCTTGTCCTGCGCTCCCGCGATGTCCCTCCTGCAGTGTCCCCGGCAATGTCCTCCAGCCAATGCCGGCATCTGTCTTTCGGGTTCCGTTGCCTGCGACGTCGGGACGTACGGGGACGGAACGGCGGGAAATTTGAAAACGTGAAAAAGTAACATTCACTAAATACACTAAATTCACATAGCATAACATTACTGTATCAAACCATTTCACATACATTTTGTGCCGAGTGCTTTGTCCTGTGCCCTGCCTGTATTTTTACTGTTCTTTCTGCCTGGAAACTGAGAAATGTCCATGGCGTCCAAAAAGCTTCCCTTTTGGTCAAAAGTGGTTTTAGACCAGCTAGAGAACAGTGATAGTAAATTAGAACTACTTGCAGAATTGAGTGATAATGATTTGTGGGGAAATTCGTCATCAGATACTAAAAACGATTTTGCGACTAAGATCAGTGATGTGCGAACTTGGCGCTATGTTTCAAATTTCAGTGTTTTTTGTTTGATTATATTATTGAATTAAATTTATTATTATATTAATTTTTATGATTATTTATTAAATTACAATTTATGATTTCGTGTTTGAAATTTTAACCACCATAGTACAATGACGGGCGCAAGGTGGTTCTCTTGTTCTGGGATGACATCATATGACGTCCTCCCATTCTAACTGCGCATGCGTGGCTCCAGGAGCACGCAGCGCGGCAATCGGCGGTGCTCTGTGTCCCTCGGACACAGCGGATCACTGATCAATGGAAAGAGCCGAAGATGTTGGCTCAGTCATGTGATCAGCTGTGTCCAATCACAGCTAATCACATGTAAACAGGGAAATGCCGGTTATTGGCAGTCCTCTCCTCACGAGCTGTCGCGCTGACAGCTCGAGAGGAGAGCCCGTAATCGGCATCCCTCAGAGATGACATGTGCACTGATCATCAGGGCACTGATGATCAGTATGCTCTGATGATCTGTGTAGCCCCAGCAGTGCCACCTGTCAGTGTCCATCAGAGCCAGCTGTCAGTGCTCATCCATGCCACCTGCCAGTGCCCATCAGTGCCACATTTCAGTGCCTACCAGTGCACATCAATGCCACATATCAGTGCCCATCTGAGCTGCCTTTCAGTGTCAGCCATCAGTGCCAGTCAGTGCCAACTATCAATGCCAGTCAGTGTCACCTATCAGTGCTGCCAAACAGTACCACCTATCAGTGCCAGTCAGTGCCGCCTGTCAGTGCTGCCTATCAGTGCCAGTCAGTGCCGCCTATCAGTGCCTCCTATCAGTGCCATATATGAGTGCTGCCTTTCAGTGCCCATCAGTGATGCCTGTCAATGCCTATCAGTGCCACCTACCAGTGCCTCCTCATCAGTGCCACCTGTCAATGTCCATCAGTGCAGCCTATCAGTGCCCATCACTACAGCCTCTCATTAGCACATGTCAGTGAAGGAGAAAAATCACTTATTTACAAAATTTTATAACAAAAACTTTTTTTTTAAAAAAATTTCAGTGGTTTTTGGTTTGTTTAAGAAAAAAATAAAAAACCCAGAGGTGATTAAATATCACCAAAATAAAGCTCTATCTGTCACAAAAAAATTATAAAAATGTCATATGGGTACAGTGTTGCATGACCGCGCAATTGTCATTCAAAGTGTGACAGTGCTGGAAATTGGCCTGGGCAGGAAGGGGGTATAAGTGCCCTGTAGGCAAGTGGTTAACATACCCGGGATGTTTACTAGACTCTTGTTCGGACAGATTTCAGTGAGTTATACCTAAAAATCATAGGCCTACAATAAAAAAAATACATATTTCCATGCAAAAAAATGTACCGCTTTGAGCACAGAAATACTGACATAATCAGACCACTAGGGAGGCTACAGTGCATCTCTGGTCAAAGTGTTTTTTTTGCATCTGTGTGCACTGGGGCTCAGAGGTAAATTCATCTCACTTTTGGAGATTTCCTTTACCTTGCTGTTGCATATCTGAGACAGGAAGTAAAGAGAAATTTCCTCAGTGGTACACAGCAAAAAATAGATTAGTGGATATTTTATATATATATATATATATATATATATATATATATATACATACACATACACATAAATACATACACACCTAAAATAGTGTGCAATACTATACATAACCCACCATTCCTCTCTTATATCTCCAGCATGTTCAGCATCAGGTGAAGTCCACACTCTGAACTTCTCCTTACGGCAATGAACTTTATTTAACTACAAAATCATGAATAATCCATCCTTGATGCATTTCACTCACAAAGTGAATTTTCAAATAAATGCTTTGTTGGAATGCATCAGAAGGAGATGTCCACAATCCCGTAGCTGAATAAAGTTTATTGCAGTGAGAAGAAATTTGGAGTGTGACGTCACTTTTGTCTTGTATATGCTATAGTATACAACATTATATAATGTTCAACCTTTTTAGATGTTGGTAATAAATTGCATTTTTTTCCATTTGGCGAGCTGTTATATATAAAAGCTGTATATTGTGCTTCTCAAATTGTGAATTATTCCTTTAATGGAAGATTCTAATTCAGATACCCATTATCGGGACAGGGAGGAAGGAAAATCCTGTCATTGGGCACACAGACAGTGAAAAGACCTAAAAACATGAAAAGAGGATATTTATTTATATAGCACTGTCAGTTTAAACAGAGCTTTACATATATTGTACATTCACATTCACATCAGCCCCTGCCCTCAAGGAGCTTACAAAGTAAGATCCCCACCTCACATTCATACATACATATACTAGGGCCATTTAACCTAGCAGCATGCCTTTGGAGTGTGGGAGGAAACTCATGCAGGCACGGGTAGAACATGCAAACTGCAGGTAGGTAGTGATGTGGTAGAGCGTCAAACTGACGATTCTAGTGCTGCTAGGTGGAAGTGCTAACCACTTAGCCACTGTGTTGCCTATGGTCTATGCTCATAAGTGGGCATAGACCAGAAGACTGTCAAAGGGATTAGAAGCAAGCATGATGTAGGTTGCTTGCTTGAGAAAAGACAGGATTATTCTTCTTCTGAGTAATAGTTAGAAGATGTAGAGGTAGTGAGTGCTCTAAACCATTAAGATAGGAAACATCTATAATCCTATAGAAGAGAATAAAAAAAAAAAAAGTATTCTGTCACAGTAAGACAATAGTGATAAAAACATATACTGTATATCAGGGCTTGAAATTTCCACTAGCCTGCTCGCCAATGGCGAGTGGGAACTATGGTGGGGGCGATTGTGTCCCCCAGGGCTGTCTTGCTGAGCAGGCTCGGACCTCAGGCCGGATCTGTCATTGGCACTGGGAGCCGTCAGACTGCTCAATAGCTGAGCGCAGTGAAAGCAAAGCAAGGAGTGTGTGCTCTGCTCTCTGCCTCCCCCTAGAGTGCAGTACCTGGATTTGTGAGTGAACAATGAAGTACTGCAACTTTTTATGTGTCTGTGTATCTGTACATGTGTCTGCGTGTATGTACATGTATGTGTGTGTGTACATGTGCCTGTGTGTGTGTGTACGTGTGTGTGTGTATGTACGTACACGTGTCTGTGTGTACATGTGTCTGTATGTACATGTGTCTGTGCGTGTGTATTTCTGTGTATGTACATGTATCTGTGTGTATATATGTGTCTGTATGTGCTTGTGTGTACATGTGTCTCTGTGCGTGTGTGTACATGCTTCTGTGTGTGTATGTACATGTCTGTGTGTGTGTGTACAGGTGTCTCTGTTTGTGTGTTTGTTGGTGGTGAGTAACTCTAAGGCCTGGTTAGTAGCTCAGGACTTGAAATTTTAAGCCCTGCTGTATATTGTAGCATACTTACGGAGCTACTGTAGAAGTAACGCTGATCTACTGGTACAAAAACCTTCATTTACATAATGTACTGGTTATTCCTCAATAGCCATAAACAACACAAATCCAGATATCACCTTGTATGTGACATCATCACTGTGCTGTATATAGTCTGTGCAGAGAACAGAGCTGTGGGAGGGACCCAGCAGGCTTCTCCCACCACAGGCTACCTACAGAACACTATAGAAAGGGTGGATACAAGATCAGACACCCAAGACAAGGAGAGAGATCAGCAATGAGTGGTCTTTATTACAGGAAGCTTCTGCATAGAAGCTAAGTTTTACTTTTGATTACTGCATAGATCTGGAAGAAATATACAAAGACTTCAAGTAAGAATACACTTGCCTCTTGAATTTAGACAATACTTGCTTATCTCAGAGTTCAGCCTTAATCAATGCAAAAGGGGTGTGGCTTTGAGTGTAGGAAGAGTGGATTGTGAAAGGTGTAAAACTCTAGTAACTCTGTCCCTTTAGGCTCCTGAGAGCTTTATGTGGCCCTGATCTGGTTTAAAGAAGCCTTAAAGTGGTTTTAAAGCCTTAGAAGGTTTTTTACTTAATGCAGAGAATGTATTAAGGTATAAAACCTTATGTCCAAAATCCCCCTTCTCCCAGCCCCCCTCCTTATACTTACCTCTCTACTTACCAGCTCTCTCCTCTCTCTCCCTCCTCACAGGGCAGATTGATAGCAATGGGAGCCTTTGGTTGCTGTCAATCAAATCCTATGATGAGGGGGTGGGGCACAGTGTCTTTGTCAATGGATGCAGGAAGCGGGGGTTGGGAGGAGGAAGTCTGCACGAACACCTCCCTAAGCAAGCGGCATGCTCAGGGAGGGGGGTACTCAGCCAGGAGCATCAGCAAGGGACCCCAGAAGAGGAGGATTGCACACAACCGGTAAATATAACATGTTTGCTATTTATAAAACAATTAAAGGTTTAGTACCACCTTAAAACACCCACAAGTTAATGTATGCGAAAATGCATGCACTTGGTGTTAATGTATGGTTACAGTGCTGTGTAAACTAACCACTCCATAAAACTGTTTTTTTAAGCTCTTTAACTGCTGACAAAAGCATGGAGATTTACACCAATCAGCCTTAACTTTATGATCACCCACCTAATATTGAGTAGGCCCCCTTTTGCCACCATCAAGGCATCGACTCCACTAGACCTCTGAAGGTACGATGTGGTATCTGGCACCAAGCCTTCAATAGCAGACTTTTAAACTTTTGATGACTTGCCCTCTTCCCATAGTGTATCCTGGTGTCATCTACATGATGTAAAAGAGAATATAATTCTTCAGATCAGGCCACCTTCCATTGTGTGGTCCAGTTCTATTACTCACATATCCATTACGGGGCTTTTGTCTGTGGACAAGGGTCAGCGTGGGCATCCTGACCAGTCTGCAACTACGTAACCCCATAAGTAACAATATGATAGAAAGGTGTCAGAACACACAGTTTATCAGAACCAACATGGACTTTTTGCAGCAATTTGATCTACAGTAGCTTTCATATTGGATTGGACTGAACCGTCTAACCTTTGCTCCCCAGGTGCATCGATGAGCCTTGGCCGTCCATGACCCTGTCGCTAGTTTGCTGGTTTTCCCTTACTGGACCACTTTTGGTAGGTCCTGACCACTGCAGAAAAGGAACATCATGGCAGTGGTCATAATGTTATGGCTGATCAGTGTACATTCAGATGTTACTGTTATTACCTGTGGGACAATTTAATCCTTTTATTCTTAACTGAATCTCCTTTCAGCAACAGTAATCCAAGCTAACAGGTTTTTTCCAGGATTGTAATGTATAATGATTGGCATGCTGGAAAGTGGGACATTAAATCCAATAAAGACAATTTAAATTGTGCTTTATCAGTTCAGATCAAACTAGACAGTGAGTGGTTCATATAGACCAAAGCACCAAAGCAGCTTTCAGGGATATTTCATTTCCTTTCAGTGCAGTCACATCTGATTGTTCACATTCGCCCTCACACCGCATACTAACCCAGACATGGTCAGATTGAGTTTTGAATTTAATCTATTCCTGGTGGGCACATGTGGTTTCTTTATTGCTTTTATAGGCCAATATATATTCTGCCAGTGTAGTACAATACCTGACCCTGCAGAGTATTTCTGTTCCATTGTGACAGTAGAGAAGCATACTAATAGCACTGCTGTCACCTGTTTTGGGTTTCTAGAAGCAGCTGCGGCCTCTGCAAGAAATTAGGGAGAGCGCAAGACCTAGTGTACAATATGGATAGAATCAGTTATGGGCATCTTAAAGTGGAACTCCATCCAGAGTGTTTTATTTTGTTTTCATTACAGTGGCAAGGTTTTTTTTTTTTTTTTTTTGCTGTCTTTACCTTCTGGAAATTAATTCCTCTACTTTTCCTTCCCCAGTGACAGTGGTCACTCCAACATTTATCGATGCGAGTAAAAAAAAGTCCCGTTAGCCACACATCAAATGTGTGGCAAATGGGACTTTTCTTTCCTAGCATCGACATTTATGGAGCAGGGATGAGCTCCATCCTCGCTTCCACTCCCATCGGTGAGCCCTAAACTGCACCTGTAGTTTTGTATTGGTTCACTACAACAACAATTACTTAGGAAAATATTTTCAGTGGGCACTTAATATGCACTCAATCAACAACTGCTGATTACATATAAGTTATCATTTGGGGTTCCAAGCCTGACTTAATAAAGTACATAGTTAGATGAATTGCAGAAACATGAAGCTGCATTCCCTTCCATCATCCAACTGGTGTGAGGTTGGATGGTTTATGTTCACTTCAGTGGACTCACACCCTCACTTCATATTTTAGTAAATCAAGTTCTCAGGTTCTTGAATCAAATGCCCTTCATGTTCTTGCTCCTTGTCTACCTTTACAGTGCAGACACAGACAAGCTAAATGTAAACAGAACCTTATTTACATAGACAAAGGTCTCAGAACAACTCGGAAAGGAGAGACAGTTATTTGTACATATACTTCTATATCACAACACTTAAACCTATAATATCCCAGAAAAGTGATCTACCTTCACCCTTGAAGGCCAGCTTAACAATATATATGTGACTTTTCTATGAGCAGATACATCAAATTAATAATTAATTAATTTATATATAATTTTTATAATTTTTGGTTTTATTTCATTTAATTTGATGTATCTGCTCATAGAAAAGTCACATATATATAGTTATTTGTACAGTTCCTTGGACCCTGGATGGATCAAAAGAGTTAGGAGCCACTGACATCATTTGCGGATGCTCTGGAAAGCATTGGTCGGTGTAGTCCAAACTCAAAGACAAGGCAATTTGTCTTGTTTCCTATCATGTCATTTCAGCCATTGCTTTGTTGTGGTGTGCGCCGAAAAAAAAAAAATACTGCATGTAGAACTTTTTTTGCAGTGCAGCAGGTTGCGCCAGAAACCACAGCATTCCAACACTGCTGTGTGAATAAAACTTAAAGGGATAGTAAAGGCCTTTTAATGATTTATACCTAGAGGTAAGCATATAATAAAGCTTACCTGTAGGTACAGTAAATATCTCCCAAATGTGCCCCGTTTAGGAGATATTTACTTTAGCAGCCAATGCACACTGCGCTCTCAATGGATGGCTCGCCATCCATTGAGAGAGCCATGCTGCGGCCCTGACTCCCGCGCGCATGCTCAAGAGAGACGTCAAACGGCCTCATCCCGTGAACACGGAAGGAAGGTGGAAGCCCTGTGACAGCGCACTGCTGGAGGGCTTTATTTTCAGGTAAATTTTTCATAATGTGCTCGTATGCGATACATACTAGCATATTATACTCTTAACTTGCAGGGAGAACATTCCAATAACGTTCTTACAAAAAAGAAAAACAGTAGCAAACAGTGTCATGCTTTAAAATTGCAGATACACTTGGAGCTTAAAAAAGTGCATGAGCTTCTTTGCCGTATTTGTCGCATGTTGGACAGTTATGGAGCTCCATTTAGAAAATAAATATGTAGATGTTGAATTTTATCTTTGCATGAGCCTAGGTTCACACATCTGCGGTTCAGAATTGCTCCATTTTGTACTGCGATGCTGCTGGTGCAAATCACATGCAGTTCTCCTTATGCGAGTCCCGCTGAGTTTGATTGCAATGCAAATTTGGATTGCACTGCTAAAACTCACACATAGCCTTTTGCAAAAATGCACTGCAGATGTACCACATATATGTGAACACCCTACATAGGAATCCATTCTTTTTTTGTGGTCATGAGAATCCGCTTACTAAAAATGCATCCAAAAATAAACATACACTATATTGCCAAAAGTATTGGGACGCCCCTCCAAATCATTGGATTCAGGTGTTATCAGTGAATTCAAGCGTGGTACCGTGATAGGTTGCCACCTGTGCAATAAGCCCATATGTGAAATTTCCTTGCTACTAAATATTCCACGGTCAACTGTTAGTGGTATTATAACAAAATGAAAGCAACTGGAAACAACAGCAACTCAGCCATGTAAAATCACAGAGCGGGGTCAGCGCATGCTCAAGCGCACAGTGTGCAGAAATCGGCAAATGTCTGCAGAGTCAATAGCTAGAGACGTTCAAACTTTGTGTGGCCTTCAGATTAGCACAACAACAGTGCATAGAGAGCTTCATGGAATGGGTTTCCTTGGGTGAGCAGCTGCATCCAAGCCTTACATCACCAAGTACAATGCAAAGTGTCGGATGCAGTGGTGTAAAGCATGCCAACACTGAACTCTAGAGCAGTGGAGACGTGTTCTCTGGAGTGACGAATCATGCTTCTCTGTCTGGCAATCTGATGGACGTGTCTGGGTGTGGGGAGGATTATGGTGTGGGGTTGTTTTTTAGTGGTTGGGCTTGGCCCCTTAG